TGTGTGTGTGTGTTAATTGTAAATCTGTAAGGGAATTCGACGATCTATACCACTTTTAAAACAACCTTCTCTTTTGCATTCAATAGCGAGCAACACTTACACTTAGGCAAACCATTCAGCCACAAAGGTGATACTGCAACCTTTGACCCTCTAACCTTAGAGCTGCACAGCAGGCGAAATGTCACATGCGAGGGGTAGAATTTGTTCACACAAATGAGATGCTCAATGCTCATTACTCCTTAAGAAAGTGTCTAAAAACTGTCTGTCTCGTTTTTTCCCCCTGTGGGTTTTGGGTTTTTTTTACTACTAATTACGTTTTTGTGAAAGTTAAACTTAACATCCCCACAGGTTTGCTTTCTTTGGAAAAGGTCATGGATTTAAAACATCCACACATAATGTTAAAAACTAGGTTGAACGAACCCAACATTATTGGTCTACCTGAAATCGCTCGGAATCAAAACTTTTGCACCCGAATTCCCGTTTAGTAGGTCAAGTAAGTTCTGAATAAACGGGGTGCCCACTACGGCTGGATCGGGCCGATCGCCGGACTCGGTCGCCTGAAACGAAGACAAACACGTTTGTTTCTGAGGCGACCGAGTCGGGAGATCTACCCGATCAGCCAATCCCTTCCGTAGTGAGCACCCCGTATGAAGGGCTTAAGTAAACCTTTACCACATTCATAAACATTCAATTTGTTAATTTTTTTTTCGTCAGTTGAACTCTCGATTTAGGAACATTTAGAATGGACTCTGAGCCGAAAATTTCCTTTTGTAACTTAGCGGAAAATGCCCTTCTTAGCTAAACGCTTCCTTAGTATATTTAGAATTTAAGCAGGAGTTTCGAAAAGTGTTTAAAGACTTTGGTCATACATAAAGGTAATAATAAACTTACTTAACTGAATGCAAAGCTGTGTAAATAAGATGTAAAACAGTTTAGCAAACATTTATGTATCTGTTAATCCTTTCACTGCTAACGTAATTTGGAAGTCACTATCTGCTATTTCTTCTTAATAACCATTGTCTCTGAAACCCACGGACATCCCCTCTTGGTAAAGAAGACAAAAGTGCGGCGTGTGTTTTACCACTCAAAAACCTATGAATAGCTGAGTGCTGTATTGACACATACTTTCCTTTCTCCGCCTAAGATGTAGATCAAAGTACTGTGTTTGTAGATCTACCTGTTCGTGGAGGGTTGGAGGTTGAACGCGCAAGCCGCTTAGCAAATCATCGAACCTGGTCTTTGCCAACGGCTGACTTGAAGTTGATAGAAGTCATAGTTTGTAGGTTGTTTGTTTTTTGTTTTTTTTTTGTACAGTGTTTTACGGCGCTCGCATAACGTCATATGAGCGCGCGGGACACACCTAATATTTTCAGTTGATAAGAAATTTTGAATTTTGCCCGGGTGGCGGCCGAAACCTACTCTTATC